CTGTGTGAGAAGCTGACGCTTGTGGCCAGCTAAACTGTGCTTTGAAGTGCTTCGCCCAGCGCTCAAGATATCGCTGTTGATTGTGAATAAGCGAGTCGTCAGCTTTTGAGGTTCTTTTCGCTTTCATTTTTTGTATTGTAGACAATAGATGATGCATCCGCGCCTCTGACTTTGGTGCGACGCCATATCCCGCAGTGTCTCAATCCAAAGACAGTCTGAATCTTTGGGGCCCCATCCGGGGAGCCGAGAAACCCCATCGGAAGCCAGATGCGAGCACGATCTTTTTAACCATCTGTGCCACGTCATAGCCTGCCCACCTCGTTTCTTCCAGCCTGGACCGACGTCTGCGAGTAGTGCATGGTGTGGCAGACGGTGCGCAGGCATGCGTAGGACGTACCCTAGCCACCTAAGACGATGCTGTGAAATTATTTTGCCCAAAGGAAGACTTTCTGGTCCTAGCACCCGTCGTCTGACTTCATCATTATTCACGCGATGCTCCCACCATACGCGGTCGATGTTACGCAGACAACGGTTGTCGAAGACTGATAGATGCTGGACGTGATCTGTTCGGAGAGGCCAGGTCTCGCAGCTATTGAGCAACAAGGTGCGTACCGTTGCGCCCTTTCAGTGAAAGGGATGTATCGCGCTGGCGCCAGAGATGCCGCAGATAGGCAAACGCTAATCTAGCTTTGATCACGCGTTGAGATATCTCCTCGCCCACACTTCCGCCAGCCGTTATGCAACTCCCAAGGTAGACAAAGCTTTCGACCACTTTCAGAGTGTCATTATCCAATGAAAGTGCAGGACTGGGTTCCTGCCAATCTTGCAAAAACACTGCACTTTGAAGGTGCAAATGATACCATAGCGGGTAACCTCAATTGCCAAACGGTTCAATGACTCTTGAATCTTTGGTGTTTTGTCACCCAGTAAGGCAATATCATCGGCGTACTCTAAGTCTACGACTCTGTCTCCAGGAAGAAGCTCGACGCCAGCGTTCGCTACGTTATGTAACGCGTTTTGTAGGACATCATCTATGGCAAAGTTGAAGAGAAGCTTAGAGATAGGGCAACCCTGTCGTACCCCCACTGGTGACAGGAAATGAGGGTGAAAATTCACCATGGGCCCTAACCTTCCCCGAGTGGCCAGGGTGCACTTTCAAGAGAGCTGCTTTGGGCAGCCAGCGCGGAGGGTGGTTGAACTGCGATGTAAAGTGCTCCGCCCAGCGTTCCAATCGTCGGTGAAGGCTGTTTATTAGCGTACCATCTACTTCGCAGATTGTTTCTCTAACGCACTGTTTTTGGGCCTGTTACACGAATGAACTAGAATCTTTGCCGGGTGTTTCCACACCCAGCGGCTACTTCCATCTCCTTTGCACTTACCGTCCACCAGGCCTCTCGGTCATCTCTCAAACTCTTTGTGAGTTCACGCTTCTTGTAGGGGCGCTGCTCATTGTTCTCGCGTCTAGGAGTCTGAGAGAGTTGGAGGAGACCCAGTGATATACAACTCGTGATTCACAACTGTGTAAACCGGCTGAGTGCATTGCGTTTTGATTGGTTGTCTAGTGTTGATCTACGCTATTGGTGGAGTAGTGGTTAACCTTGCAGCTAACTCGTTTTGATAATCGGCTAGTACGGCTGGGTCAGAGAGATTGACGACATCGAGCTGTTTGCATCGCATCTTTTTGCGGCCACCAAATAGCATAAACAACTTGGCACAAACCAGCGCGTGGTCGAAGTCCAAGCAGGTGAACCAATACGAACGGCAGTCTTTCGCACATCCTCTCCATCTACAGCTAATAGCTATATGGTCAATCTGACTCCACGTCTGTGCCGAAGAGAGGTTACGCTTNCCTCCCCATTATCTGAACGATAGCTATCAAGGCCATGACTGCCGCCAAGGTGGGTGACAGACGACCAACGCGTGCATTTAGGTCTCCTGCCAGCATCACGATATCCGTCTTAGGTGCTTTGAAAAGAAGCTCATGTAGGTTGTGATAGAAGGCTTCCTTGACTGTACCCGGGTTACAGTCTGTGGGAGCGTATGCAGAAACCACGACTAAGCATCGTTCATTTGGTTTCTGCTATTTGACCTTAATTGAGCCTCTGAGTCTCACTGCGCATAGTCGGCTATCTATCGGGATCCAATCCAATAGACCAGCCTCGGCCCTGGCGCTTGAGGATGTTCTGCAGGCCGCTTTGTCCGGTCTAATAAACGGTGGAGTCGAAGTCCTCCAGAGGAACAGATTTAAAATGTGTCAACAACATCAACTTGTTGGGTGAGGATGCTCAGGCAGTTCAACGCGCTTTGCATCGCTCGGCAATCGAGGTACCCAGGTATGGAATGTGCTTTACACCATCCAAGTGCAAAGTGCTTCTCCAAGACTGATAGGAGCCTATTGCTGCACGCAATCTCCATGGTGACTCTGTGGTTTTTGAGAAAACGATAGAAATAATGGGTTAATGGAAGGAGTATCTGCGTTTTACAGTTCATCGAACGGTGATGGTCTATACAACCTCGACCAGATCTAAAACTAGCCTGGTTCTTACGCGTGCACTGTTCACATGCGATAGACAATCGACGGAGTATGATACCACCGAGAAGCTTAGAGACAATACTGATTAAGCTGATTCCCCTGCGATTTTCACAAGAGGATCTGTCGCTTTTGTTGTAAATCAGTATGATGGCCAATAAAAACCAATCCGTTGGAACTTGGAATTTCGTTTAATCTGAGACGGTGGTTGAACCTCCATCATTAATTCCTGATGAGAACAGCCCCTCTGGGCCGGATGCCTTATACCTTTTGAGATGACTGATTTCTCGGGTAACCATTTTAGATGGGGGACTGATATCAGCTTGCGGTATTTGCCCAGTTGAAACAGGTATAAGGAGGTCTTGTGTCGATAGGGTTATCTGAACTGTCTTGAAATGTTCCGCCTATCGTTGATGACGGCGTTGCTGAATATGAATCAGTGTAACGTCAGACTCCTTAATTACTTCACTTTCTTTCGGCCTGTACTACTAAGTGAACGAAGAAGATTGACTATTAACGATTGCCGCCGCAATCTCCATTTCTCTCTACCTCTACGCTTCCCTATCTACCACTTTTCGTGGCCATTCCTGAAACTCTTGGTGAGCTGGCGTTTCAGGGATTGTCATCGTATTTGACATCAGAAGGAATAGCTTTGCGGGCGTCCAGCATGGCAGCCGAGGTCAACGAGATCCATCGTTATTGTTTTGATGGTGCGCCCGAATCCGCCGTGGGTTTTATTGACATTTGGATCTCTTCCTTAATTATCGTCTAGTGTTCCCTAGTATTCCATCCGATCGTTGAGGTGAAAGGCGATCCGCTTCGAAGGTTAGTTTGCAATTATCGCTAACATAGTATTGTGAGCATCCGTTTCCGGTGACTTGAGGAGAATCTGGTTCGTAGCAGAGCATGGTCCGTGTCCACGAGTGTTGACCAGTAAAAGCCGCAGTCCTGAATGGATCCTCACTAATGGGGCTGATGGTGATGTGATCGATTTTAGTCCACCGCTGTGAATAAGTTGGCGATTTCCCTCTAAGACAGTGTCATTACTTGTTCTTGGGGTACTCCGCTTGTGACTGCCGCATTCTTTGACCACCTATCGTTGGGCGTTCGAGTTATTGATGCATCAATACATATAGCAAAGTTAGTTTTACTTAATGGATCAATCTCGTAACCCTCGTGAATTTGTATCATCTGTTATTTTCAGCTGTGTTCATGAAATCTTCTCTGACGGCAGTTCGATAACTGGCCTTAATGAAGGCAATCTTATCGCACTTTCATCGATGCCTTTCTCGTCCTCGCCTTACTCGGTGGCGTCTGGTTTTCATCTCATGGATCATTTTCGCTTTCCTCTATACGAGACACCGATCACGACACGTTCTAGTCACTGATCCATCGCTTATTCTAAACGTGGTTCATTGCCACATCAATTCGGTGCTTGTTCATCATGGGAATTTTTTCAACCCGAACTCTGGCCTATGCTGTCCAAACGCTACTCAACTAGGCTTGCAATATTCCAATTTTCATCTTACTCCAACGTATTATCAAATTTACCGATCTACATCGAAAGTGTGCTTCGGAGCTTGGCAACCGGCACACTGTCAATCACATCAAAACGTGGCTATATTGATACCTTACAGGGATCGAGAGTTTCATCTCCGCCTCTTGTTGGCTCGGCTGCATCCTTTGCTTCAGCATCAAAACATCCGCTACAGAATATATGTGATAGAACAGGTTAGTGTCCCGAGAAATTTGGTCATATTTGTTTTTATTAACTTTTAGCCATAATCCTGACAACTCCTGAGGAACAGGTAGATGGTAAAACAAAATACTTGTACAAATTTAGAAGGTTCGTAAAAGTTTCCCTGGGTAATTCTTTGTCATTTCGTATCCAACTTGGAGTGGCGAACCACATAAGACCCCGATAGACTAGGCGTGGTGTTGAACCGGACGACAGCAGGGCTGTCTACCACCAAAGTCGGGTTGCGGTGGCGCGGCTCGGACCACAGGGTCCAAAGCACGCCGGTGACAGCGACTAAACCACTGCGCCACCTAAAATCATCGATTGCTGTACATTGAGAATTAGGAAAAGGTTGCCGATTCTTTTTTATTGAACACACTTGTGAGGTGAACTCCATAGTCATCCTACCATCCAGTGATGGAGAACTGTGATCTAGGTCCGGGGATTTGAAGTAACGAACCACACCAGGCCCGGCCCGGGTCGAATGCAGAAAAGCTTTAGGAAGAATGAAAACAGTAAGAAAGAGTGTTCCACAATTCAACGGTTCTTGGAAAAAGTGGATCTGAGCGCCAGCTCGTAAGGATAAATTGTGACCGGTTCTCGCCAGCACCGGAACGTAGAGGAAGAACCAAATGGACGAGCTCTGCAAAGAAAAATTTCTGGTTATGACGAAAGCTGTACATGGTGATGGACATGCTGTTCAAGAGTGAATGTTCGGGACGAATCAGTGACAAAACGCATAGTTGATACTGAACACGGTACTAGAGTGTCGACAGATGTAGCTGGAATAAACCGTGGTGACATAAATTTCGAACTTGAACCGTGAAAATTTATGGTTCAGTGAGAAACCGCGGAAAGGGTGACTAATCTTCCTGGTTGCATATTATGTAAGTCCAATAACAAGAGGGTACATATATACGGATGGTAGTGGCGCAATGGTTTGATCCCTGTCACTAGCGTGCAGTACACTCTATCGTCCGAGATTCAAGCATCGCCACCCAACTTTGAGGGAAGGCATCTTGCTGCTAGAGGGTTCCTATGTAGTTCACCACTCCAAGTCCCGTTGCTTAGGTTACCGGTTTCCGTGACTGAACAGCAGGTCCTCGTGACTATGGGGCTTCCTCTGTCGGTTGTTCACCACTAAGGAGACACTGAAGGATATGGCACTGAGCCGAAGTCAGTGCTTTAAATACAAGTATTCTTATCTGCAATCTCGAAAATGAAAAGATAACAAAGTATAAACTACGGGCAGTAGATAAGCAGAATGGTTACTTTATGTTGTTTTTGTTCTGCGACGTTATATTCTTTCGACTCAGCACCAAAATAACCATGGATCGAAAAAATATAACGTCTCAGAACAAAAACAACATAAAGCAACCATTCTGCTTATCTACTGCCCGTAGTTTATACTTTGTTATCTTTTCATTTTCGAGATTGCAGATAAGAATACTTGTATTCAAAGCACTGACTTCGGCTCAGTGACCTGTCCCTCAGTGTCTCCAGCGAACAATAATCTAACGTTAAACGGTAGGTGTAAGATGAGGTGAATAACAGTCAAAATACAACTTGCCAGTATAGGACACTGATATACAAGAAGTTTTAGTGGCATTGAAAGTGATTCGGTCCTTTGCACCCCAACAACGATAGTATTCGGGTCTGAATTGAATAAAGTGCGGGCGAACATTTATTCTTGAGGGATGATGATTGGGGAACACGGACATTGTTGTAAGAAAAGGAACGATGCAGAATGACATCATCGGCAAAAGCACGGGTAGGATCAGGAATTTAGGATAAACTTTTATTACTGAAAAAGAGGACGATTGTGAAAGATAGCATGGGACATTGTTGGATGCCAGAGTTCACAAGAACTGCTCTTTAAATGATTTCAGTCATTTAAACTGAGACTGAAAGACCACAAAAGAAGCTTACTATGCAAGTGATCAAACACGGGGTAGTGGGAACATGGAAGTCTCACTAGGGACCCGTCGTACTAAGCTCGGTCCCATGCCTCGGAAATGTCAAAGGAGACCAACCATGGCGGCGGACCAAATATGCGGCTTGTATACCAACGGGTCACCAGCAAATCTGTGATAGCGGAAGTGATATTAAACGTGGTTGACATTTTCAATGCTTTCCAATTGACGGCGGATTCCTTTTACAATCACTAGTTTCATTACCCCGGAGATAGACTAGCAGAGGTAAATGGAACAGTACGTTTTAGAATCCCAAGACGTATGAAGAAACCTACAGATTAGATGTCCCTCATCATTCAGGCCAGGCTCCACAGGACCGATTGGTTGTTTGGAGGGACATAATACTGAACCATCCGCGGTTGTGTTCTTGTTGTTCCTCCTCAGGTTAGAGTACTTGTAGAAGTGTGTATGCTCAGTTAACATTGTACATTCATTGTTTAAGCGTTGTGGTTCAGGTTTTACTCCTCTCTAATCAGGTTCACTCCTCATCTACGTTACGCATTCTTACGTTGTGTATATTGTGCTTGGCTGCTGTCGGCGATGTTCGGCTAACTGCATTACGCAATACAATAATGATAATGTTAAATCTGGTTCCTATACATCTCTTTCGTCTTTTTTTCACTCCTGTGACACAAGGGCTTTGAATTTTGGTTAAGTTGGTTGTTCGTTGGTGCGTTGATTGTCGGTCCGCTTTTCGGGATCGGCCCTCAGTCTCATGCACCCATTGAGACAGGCAAAATGTGGAAGGGACAGCACCTTATTGGCTGGGGGCTGCCCAGCTTGGGCGGGCGGTAGCTGTTCAATGAGGTGCGAAGACTTCTCCCACCGTCAAGAGGAAGCCCCAGGAATTCCGCTCCTACATCCATCTAGCGGGGGGTTTTCGACCGGTAAACTGCCCCTCACAGTGTTTATTTACGGAGTGACCTCTCCAGGAGCGGGTGTGGATAGAAAAGGAAGCCTGGTGGTGCCCAGGCAGCTGGCCTTGTGAAACTGACCTTCGTCTGGCCTCTACCCCTTGACCCTTCAGGCATGGTTGGATCTGCGGCTGAGGAGCCATCCTGTATATCTTGCAGGGTCATTGAGGCGCGCAAGTCATCACACCACGCTAAGGTGCAGTCTCGTCGTGATGGTCTAACGATTATAATGCTTGTGCTCATTCATTGAGCCTCTTTATAATATTCTCCCGCAAAGTTCTGTAGAAGCACAATCGGTATCCTTTTCTACGTTGTCGTTGTCATGGGATAATCAGAATTTCTATTAACTGCTGACCCATGATTTACGTGGTCTATCTTTGTTAATATACAGCTTAGTGTGACGAATAGTAGAAGTGAACCCTATGTTTATGACTATTTACAAGTAACCGATAATATGTATGGATACCATTTTTATTTCTCATTTCAGTTCATCCAGGGTAACTACCATTTGCTACCTATTAGGTTGTGGCTTTGTTTTTCATTTTCCCTTCCAGGCCGGAAATGCACCGTTTAATCGAGGTCTACTGTTGAACATCGGAGCACGGGAGGCACTTCTGCGTGATCCAACAGTGGATTGTTTTGTTTTTCATGATGTAGATTTACTGCCGGAGAACAGTGACAATTTATACGTCTGTGATAATCATCTACGGCATCTGGCTGCTGGAGTGGACGAGTTCCGGTTTCACGTCCCGTTTCTCAATTATGCGGGCGGTGTCAGTTCCCTCTCCAAAGAGAATATGATTAAGGTTTGTTCACCCCGATATCTCTATTTCCCGAATCCCATATCTGTTGACAATACTGACCATACTGAGCTCTTCCGGAACCTGTCTAGGAGGGCATATCTCCCTTTCCACCCAGTGAACAGACAACGGTGATCGACTAGTTCAGTTCTGCGCGGATCATCGGTTGCTTTTATCCAGCACTAACTTTCGATACAGCTCTTGTCGAACGGCTACATAGTGTTATAGTTCAGCGGGAAAGTCGACCCAAATTGATCACATAGCTGTAAGCTACAGTTGGCGTGGTTCAGTACAAAATTGCAGACCCTGTTAGACCAACATCATGCACTAGTTCTGTTACGCTTCACTCTTCGACTCATCGGTCATCGGCAGAAATCGCCTCTTCAGTTAGCTAACCATAGTCTGCGCGATCCACCTGTCTGTACACGTTATGAGAAGCTGGGACAGGAGCTAGGAGAACCGCGACATAGTGGAGTAGACCAACAGTGAAACCAAATTATATTTGCGATTCACTCTGCAGCAAACTTTGCTGCTTATGGGACCGAGCCCTAAGTTCGCCGAAGACTTTTTCTCCCTCAGGAGTCAGTAATCCTGATGGATCGAAAGCGAAAAATTCCAATCTGCTAGGATCAGCATAGAAACCGGTGGCGCAACGTCAACTCAGGAAAAGCCTTAAAAGGGATCCCGAAAACTGGTGTGCCAAAATAGCCAGTGAAATCGAAGTAGCTTCTGCATCAGGGAATAATGATCGTCCCACTTGCTACACAGCTCCGGAGGTCGTCGTATACCGGTCAGTGAGACCGTTTGCGATAAAATGTGGCAGAGTATTTTAGTGAACAGTTGAATTCGTCTGGTGCTTCTGTGGTTATTCTGACAATTGAAGCGGAAACTCCATGGGTGGTGGTAACACGTGAGCCCCTATCGGAAATAGAAGTACGAAGCCGTATTCAATCATTAAAGAAAGGAAATGTTGCGAGATCTGATGGTCTTCTCCCTATTCCTTTCAAGCTGAGTGGTCACTCTCATCCGATCGATTACTGGCTTACTTCGCAGCATTTGGTCGGAGGAGCGTATCTCTTTGTCCTGGGGTGAATCGATCCTCAAGAAGAAATCACGCAGCGGCTGAGCAAATTACCGCGGGATTAGTTTAGTTCCGATCATCAAAAAGTGTTAACTTCTGTGATAACTCGCCGCCTGACACCCTTAAAGGAGATGAATATCCTCAAACAGCAAGCCGGATTCCGACCAGGTCGCGGTCACATGAACCGAATCTTCACTTTTCGTCAACTCGTCGAATTGTTCCTGAACCTGAAAGGAGCCTTCGATTCGGTTTACCGTGAATCCCTAATAGGTGCCTCGCTACCCATAGGAATGGGGCAGAAACATGAACTTATTGCGATCACTGTACCTGCATACTTCGGGTAGCGTCAGGGTCTATGATGGATTAAGCAAATCGTTCGAAACCAAGAGCGGTGTTTTCAAACGTGCCATCTTTGTCCATTTCTGTTCAATTTTGTCGTAGACGAAATACTGGAGAACACAAAGTGGTCCTCGAAATGTAGGTATTAAATAGGCAACTGGAGAAAAGCTGTGCGATTTGGAGTACGCTGACGACATCGTCTGCTTGTTCGAATGCATGGAAGTGCAACGATAGCTAGTGAAATGGCAATAGCAGCTGCATCAGGAAAGACTGTTCCAACTGATACGCAATACGGGAGGTCGGCGAACCACAGTTAGTGAAACAATCTGCGACAAAAATGGACAAGCTATTCACAATAGGGAACAACGGCTTGACCGGTATGCGGAGTACTTCAAC